TTTTTTGTTTGTTTGCTTGTTTTCACTATGAGTTCAGGAGAAATTTTAAATAATTTTCTTAATGATGTAAAGGCCGGGGAAAGCGTAGAAATGAGAACCTACTACGAAGAAAAAACAAGAAAACAAGAAGAAAAAATAATAAAAAACGAAACAAAAAACACCAAAAAGAAAAAAAAACAAAAAAGAAAAATGAAACAAAAACAGAACGAAAAAAAACGGAAACAAACACAAAAACAAAAGACAATACGAAAAGAGTCCTAATGACTATTCCCTTATTACATTATATTCTTTCATTTAACCTAAAGCGACCCACAGACTCAAGCCGCGGTCTCATTATGCAGATTTCAGCTCTTGTCCCTGAGGCATCTCCAGCCACCCATTCACCCATATCACAAATCACAAATTAATAACATCATATCATAAATTAATAACATTCTTTGGTCTCAGCCACCCATTCACCTGTAGCCGTTGTTTTCTGAATTATACTACAAATCTATAATGATTTCAAGAATTCAAAGAACATCCGCTACAGACTCTCATTCTCCCTGTTTCCCAAGTACCCCCCCCCCCCGCCGGGATCAGGTCTTGCCAAACCGAGCTAATCCTTGACTTTGAGTTTGGTTCGAGCGTTAGATAAATCACGTAGAACCGCGATGACACTAGACAAATAATGACCTATCTGGCTCTTTAAAAGCTTACTTCTGGGTCTTCTCCGGTACCAGCTTACAGCCATACCTTCGGACCGATATTGTGTACTTGCATTACGTGATTGTTTGTTTATACACTCTGAGTATGGATCGTGTATATAGATTATCCATCATTAATTTGGTTTTAAATTGTAACGACATACCCTGCTTGCACTTTTTACACTTCTTTCCTCTTCTTCCCTTTTCACTTTTATTTCCTATTTTCATTTCTTTCTTTTTTTAACTCCCCCCACCTCCCTTTCTTGGTTTGCAACCAACTTTTGAAAATATATTCAATTTATCTCCTTTCTCTTCTATTTCCCTATTTTTTTCTCTTTTTTTTTCATTATTCTTTCTCCTCAATATGCTTCCTCCTTTTCCTTCTTCCTCTTTTACTTTTTTCATTCTCTGTTTTCCTAATTTCGCTTCATTTTTAATGCTATAAAATATTAATTCCGGAACTTGAATCTAGACATCAGGACGGTTTTCTTTTTCTGTTTTAAGTTTTCGACATTGCTGATACCAACATCTCATAAATATTGTTCAAGTCTATGGGTTTTTTACCCACCCCCCCTCTCTCTCTCTCTTTCAATATTTACTAGATTTTTCAAATGCATCAAGAGTATTGACTGTCACTGACTATTTGATGATTTGATGAATCATCATGCCTAGAAAGGTCAGTTCAAGGCGACAGTGTAATATTTCTGCCCTTTTATTTAACACAGGTTCAGCACCATTCCATGAAAAGAATTTCATATACATTTATGCTAGTATTTATAACATCTTTCTATCTTTACATATTATATATTCCATTAATAGTCCAGCAGCTAGGCTTATAAGTTAGGAATCATTCTTTCGTGTTTCTTCCCATTTAACGTCCTTTGTATAGCCGGATATGTAGTCAAATACCAGTCAAGGAGTACCCACTGGGGTTACAATCAATATTAAAGGTTCATATGGCAGAATCCATACCGAAAAATGTTCCTTGGCAATCTACATCAGCTGTATTTGTACGGCTGTAGGCGCACCACCTCTCGGGAACGTAGCGTTTATGCGCCACGCAAAAAGATACAGTAACGTTCTATTGAAATTGTTACGTTTCGTAGGCCTACGGAACGCAGGGCCGGTCCTTCATTCAAACTTCTCTCTTTTCTGCTCTTAAGTAATATTTACTCTATACACGGCATATGTAGCCATTGTCAACAATTCTTTGTCGCAATTCGGACTCATGTTAACAGTATAGTGACTCGCTGTGTAATGCATTATTTTCAGGAAAGTCCAGTGTTTACGTGGGGCTCGTCCGGCGAAAGATGCCCCGCCCCTTTTCGTAGGCCGATAAGGGGGTGTCCATGCTTATGGCCGGTTCTACAGACATATGCTTAACTACAATTTGTATTCGTTACCCAATTCACGTGTTGATATTACTTTTCTAAGATATGCTTACACAAAATTTCATGTTTTTGATGATCATGTGTATTACGTTGGTATGGCTGACGATTAAGAATGGTCAAGGTCGACAGCTGTGAATTGCTAAAATAATTTATATCCTGAAGAATTCTCAGTTCACCTTGAAAATGCATTGTGGTGTATCGATAATATTTTTTTTTACCTTAGCTGAACTATTATGAAAAAATATATGAAAATACATGTCCACGCTTAAACAAAACCTATGAAAGCATATATTTTTTCAGAGAATAGTATCATGACATTTTACTAATGTATTTCATATTAGACAAGAAAATTCGTTGTACAATCTCGGTTTTATTACACTAGATCTAGTTTTTGATCAAGCGTGGATTTTATTCTATATTTACCGGTTCTTAAAGTCCTTTTAAGCTTGAAAACGAGGAGCTTTTATTATAATGTTTAGCAGTTTTAAAGTCCAATCTAGCGTTTTAGTGGAAATATCAATGGCAACACTGCCCGCGGAGATAGCCAACCATACAAACGTGTGTTATCGCAAAGTTGATGGATCACAATCGTGTTTAAGCACAATAATTCAGTATTAAGTCTTTCATGAAGGCCAGATCTGGTGAGGGACACAGTCGATCTTGAACAAATTAATGACAGATGATTTGCATATGCACAACAAAACAAATTGGTTCATTATGTTTGACTGATATGTTTCGGTGAAAATCGTAAAGTATTTCGAGAAAGATTCATGAAAAATAGCAAAATGATGGATGTAAATCACAGAAAATCAAGAATTTTTTAATTATTAGGCAGAATGTACATATGTATATTCACGGTTTACTATCTTAAGGTTTCATTATCCCGTCGTTTATTATTATTATTATTATTATTATTTATTCATTACTGTCTTTGTTTTTTTTCTTAACCTTCGTCACCTCTTATTTTATCATGACACTCATGTTTATATATTTGACTGGTTGTATGCATTTTCTCGTTAAGCATATTTTATTTTGTTACTCTTCGTTCAGGTTACTGCCTTTCACTTTCTTATTTATCGTTCGCCTTTATATTTCACCCATTCATGTGTTGAGTGTTTGGCTTGGTATTCGTTGCTCTTTCTCATTCATTTTTTCTCCTTCTCCCTAGTCCGATTTTCTTTCTGCCTTCCCTTTTCCTCAGTTTTTTCTATCTTAATCTTCCTCCTCCTTTGCCTTTTCCTTCTATTCCTCTCCGTTATAACTTTTAACATAGAGAACATAAGCGCATGATTTATTATGTAAGGTTTTAAAGGTTAGGGAACATACTGGAGCCTGAGAGTTTCCCTTAATTAATCAGGGTTAGGAACATGATAAGTTTTAAGTTTATTCGAAAATTATTTAGTTCATTCCCTGATATAATAAACTTCTTTTGGTTAATGATATGGTAGTTTGCAGTATCGATATATTATAATTTCGGATCTCTAATGAGGACGCTTTTTTTTTTTATGTTATTGGCATTTGGAGGGATGTTTTTACTTAACTAATTGTCAGTATCATTAGATAAGCTCGACGAGATTATTTTGTAAAATTAAGAGAAAAATCACTGTATCTAAGGTAATCTTGGAAAGGGGGAGAGGATGTAAAAGCCTTGAATGTTAAAGAATGAGGCCATAATTGCTATAGCCATTAAGGCGAATTTTCGGTGTTTGATTATCAGGATTTCAGGCTAAACGGTGTAAGAAACTGATACCTTGATAGAAATTTAAACACTTTTCATCAACGGCATTTCCTGTGCATATAGAAAATAGAAGATACTGAAGACCCCCACTATGTTTATGTTGCGAGGGTAGAGACTCCTCTGACCGTGTCAACTCATTACTGAGATCTGTTAATAGTTCAAAACGCTTGTAAAAACGATTTTGTGATTATCAACGTCTGCTTTTCCTAATTTACTTATTGTTTTATTATCAATATACTTCGTTCCCGTGTTTTACAGTTATGTACATCTGCTCTTGCGCGTTTTCGACACCAGGGATGTTTGGTAGCGTCGGGATACTACATTCCGCCAAGGTTGCGTCGATTTTGGGTCATTTATATATATAATATATATACATACATATATATATATATATATATATATATATATATATATATATATATATATATATATAGTGGCTATACAAAAAAAGAGAGATTACTATCAATCCCTGTTTGATATCTGAGCCCTTATAATGCTCCAAATGCTGAAAAAAGTGATTGGAAAAGACGACAGAAGCGAAGAAAAGTTCGGTGTTTCGCTATACAGAGGTAGGTGTTTTTCAGCGAACGAATTATATGTAGAAGCAAATGTATAAATTTGTACTTTCGACCGAGATAACGTTGAGTTTGTGTATGATCTAGCGACATTGTATTCCCCCATCCTTTTTGGGTTACCATAGGAGTTGTGAATGGTGTGAATTTCCTTAGATTTTACTGAAAGGTTGATACCCATAAAGTTTATACAAATATATTTGTGTGTGTGTGTGTGTGTGTGTGTGTGTGTGTGTGTGTGTGTGTGTGTGTGTGTGTGTGTGTGTGTGTGTGTGTGTGTGTGTGTGTGTGTGTGAGTGTGATAGGCGCGCCAGTATATGATTTTAATAACCAAATTTTAATAATTTCTTTGTAGTGCTCTTACATATTTTTTTCTGCCTATTTCGGCCTGTTTTAGCCAAGTAATTTGCCTGATATATATCATGAACTCCCCTGCTATCGGAACTATCAGATCATGATTGCGACGGAAATGATCATCGGGTTTGTTCCTTCACACGAGAACAAATCAGACGATATAAATATTGTCTGGGGAGGATCATTTGTCATAATCGAGAAATTAACGAAAACATTCTTTTGGGCGCTTTGGCTAAGACCAATTAGTTATAATTTCTCT